AAAACCTCGTCCATGAAACGTTGAAACGTTTGGGCTGCATTTCGAAGACCAAAGGGCATACGCGTGGATTCGAAGAGGCCAAACGGTGTTGTGATGGCTGTTTAGGGAATCTCATCCGCGGCTACGGCTATGTGGTAGTATGCTCCTACGAGATCGAGTTTTGGGGAAGATTTTGTATAGCATAGGGTACTTGCGAAATCGTGGATATGTGGGATGGGATACCTGTCTGGGATAGTAGCGTTGTTGGATAAACGTAATCTCCACAGGGTCTCCAATCACCTTTACATTGATTAGGTACCATATGTAGGGGTGATGACCAATGACTCGATGAAGGGCGGATGATGGCGAGTTCGAACATGTGTTTGAACTCATGTTTTGCAATTTGTAGATTATCCGGATGAAATCGGCGGGGGTTGGCATGGACAGATGGACCTCTCGTCTGAATGTGTTGAACGACGGAATGAGTGACCGGTTGGGTGTACTGACATGGGTGAGTAAGGGTTAGAAAATCCCTAAGTATGTCAGCAAAATGTGAATCCGGTAAGATAACTCGGATACCTGTGGATGAAGTTGGGGCACTAATTCCGTTGACTGAGAGAGATGTAAGCGTGTCTATAAGACGTTTGTGTCGCACGTCGACAGATAGACTGTAATGGGTCAGGAAATCTGCACCGATGATGGGTTTTTGGACGTCGGCCAAAAGAAAGATCCACTTGAACGCACGTCGCAATCCAAGGTCAAGTGTGAGGGAACGTTCGCCGTATGTAGCGATGCGGGTACCGTTGGCGGCTTGTAAGGAGGAAGAAGGAGAATCGCGAAGTGGATTCTTATGTGGTAGCACACTAACTTCAGCTCCCGTATCTACGAGGAAACGTAGACCACTTGAACGATCGGTAATGTGGAACAGGCGACTAGTGCGAGGAGGGCCACAGACAGTCGTCGCCGTTACTGACTGGCCGGGGTGTTTAAAGGGGTGTTGGAACGCGGCTTGAAAGAACAAGGTGGTTGACACTTGCGTGCTTTTGGGCCATAAGTTTGGTGATACCAGCACCAAGGGAGACGGGCACGAGATGACGATCTGGATCGTGAACGTGGTCGATGCCTGTTGATCTCTAACCGTTGTAGGCGATCGGTCAAAGCGTCAAATTTGGTTTGTAGGTGCGATATAGAAGCAAGAAGCGGGTCGGAATCTGTAGTGGGTGCAGGGCGGGAGACGGAGTTTACGGAGTTACTGGGGTATGTTTCGTGTATCTTATCCGCCATCCGGGCTAGCTGCTCTAAGCTGTGGTCATCAACGAAAGCGCTGATGACGTGGGACATGGAGGGTGGGAGTTTGTCGAGCCATAGTTGGGCCATGATCTCCTCTGCTAGCTTACGGCCGCAGAGGAGACTGCGCATGTGGCGAAGCATTTGTGATGGCGATCTGTCCCCAAGTTCGACGGTGGTGAATAAATCCCGCAGCATTTTGTTTTCTGATTTCCCTGTCCTACTTATGACGGCCGCTCGAAGGGCGTCATACGGATTTTCCTTAGGAATATCTTCCAACAGATCTTCAACTTCTGTTGCTACATCACAAGGAAGATGCTGGACAACATAGGAAAACCGGGTGACTTGGGAAGCGATGCGTCGGGTGGCAAAAACGGCCTCAACCTGGTGAAACCATACCCTTGGGTTGCGTGGATTATAGTCTGGTAAACGTATACTAATTGCATTCTCGACTAATTCCGCTGAGTCAAAGTGTGCCTCCATGATTACCGGGCAAAAGAAGTAAAATTACGACGATTTGAAAGGAAAAGTTTTTAAAAAAAATATCTAGAAATACTCGGGCTCACCAAATTTGTAGTGGTCTGGCTACCCAATAAGTCAGTTTACCAGGAGTGTGTGGCAAAGTAATAAAAATAATTACGCTAAGTTGGGTATACAAAAATAAATAGGTCAGATGGAACAGACTCACTAACAATTGTTCTCTTTAAAATGGTTCGTCGTTGGCCCAGGTCAGCGAATAAACAATAATCCAATCATGTTGGTCCAGAGGTCTTCTTCTGAACAGTTCCCACAAATAATAGATTCCGAAGATGTCTGAAATGTTTTGGTACCAGAGTTAGTACATACGACTCGCGAATGAACACTGCAAGCGCGAGCGAAATCGGAAGAGAGAGTGACCACGCTTGTATTTGTGAAATTGTACAAGTGCGCGATTTTGTAGTTTTTCGTATTCAAACAAAAAACGATTATGCAATTGATGAAATACGTAGTGTTATAATGGAAGTAAAACAAAGATACACAATGCCACAATTCTATCAATGTGTGGATCCACACCCCTGTGGCGAACATCAAGTATAACTTCTTTGTACATTGAGCAACCTATTCGTTTTCGCTTTCAATATCCCCCGGTTTGTGTAGACGTGCACTAGCAAAAGCTCCCGGCTTTTTCGAGCCCATAGATTTCGAATTAAAGGATGAATGTTGCATCAAAATATCAAAAATATATATCAGTTTCAGAACATTCTCTGTCTATCCACAGATACGCTCCCTCGATGTTTCTGTTCAACCACTCATCTACTGCACTCATAGTAACAAAATGTCACGGAAATTTAGACATAAAGTAGCATGGTAAATTTCTTTAGGGATGTCAGGGCTTTCGGGATATCTCGTTTGTCTCCAAGCAGACTAATAAACCCGACTACTGTTTATTGGTAGGCTTCCACTGGACGAACGCAAAGAGTGGGTGCGCGGTAAGGCAGAGATTAATTTTACAAAGATCATGTTCCTTTACAATATTGTGGATTGATAACTGTACTACCATTTCCTTTGATTTAGACTACATCAAACTGGCGGATGATGTGATTGCCGGGCTAATGATGCGTTACAACACACTTTATGAGACGAACAACAGTCTGCGGAAGGAAATGGAAACCAAAGCGGAAGAGGTTTGTCGAAACGTTTTCGGTAACATTCGACCCATCTACTCCCATCTACCGGGTTGGTAAGCGCCTCAGCGATAGGCAACCGTGGTGGCTTTTTCAGTAACTTTGTGAGTAGTTCCATTAGTGGTGACTTCTGTTTAGGTGGCGTATCCAATCAACGCACCTCTACGGCGAAGGATCGATTGATCATCAGACAGACAGGACAAATGACTGAATGGACATTTACACAAGATTAGTTCTAAACACTGTCTCCTATGTGTATGCACTCCATCGGACGTTCTGGTGTCATTTTTAGGTTGTAAAACCCAGCTAAGAACTAAGGAAAACCACTGGTAGCTTATGACACACCTAGCACTGACATGAACACTCAAGCAATCGACAATCAACCAACACGTACTGAAGACGTGAGTAGCTGTGTATCTTGTATCTATGACCCAAACAGGCAGATCTGATCAACATTCATCAGACATCATATTTTATCAAGCTGTGTAGCCCCTGAAAAGCCGACCACTCAAAATCTTCAGGTGGATTTGTTGGAGCACCTTTCATCCATCGGTCAATATCTGTTTGCTCTTTTCAGGTGGTCTGTGATGGCCTCATAGAATGTTCTGTATATCTGCAAAATCTACATGTGCTATTGAACTCAACTCTTGAGTGAAAGGAAGCTTCATGTTTATCTGAGAGCAGGGTATTCTCAGACTGTACAGACTCGAAAACTGTCCCTAGAAATGTGATTTGAGCCTAATCGAAACTGTAATGTACTGTTTTTCTCATACCATGAATCTTTCTGACGGAGGTCATCTTGCAAATATGTCCAGTTTTACATTTATCTGGCGTTATTTGCTGTGAACTCAGTGGACCAAAACACTCCCATACAAAGCCACCATTAGCCACACACCTCAAAACGTGTCATATTATATTCTTTACCATGAGAGACAACCTTGCGTAGCTCGAGGACCAGAACTTATGTCAATGACTGAAATCTATGCGTGACTACAAGTGTATTTCGCATCTATCATTGAATCATGATACACGGTTTGATTATCCTCTGTTTGCTCCTGATTTCACCGCCATCTCTAAGACACGTAGATGTCGACACTGTGTTTTCGTGCCCATGCAGTTGACCTTTCACACGGCTTCGCGCTCACCATTCAAACATTGTTCACATGTCGCAGCCTTTTACGTGCAAAATCTTAACCAAATTGGCTAGTGTGACATTACTGCGCACATCTAATACATCCAATACACTCCAATACATGATCCAGGTGTGGTATTTGAACATACGGCTCCCATCACCAACTTTGAGTGGTTCTGTCACTGCTACGCCGGGTTAAGCATACGCCTTACTTCTTGAGTAAGGGCTTCTTTACTTGACTGCCCGATCTCTACAGTCCGGTTGCCCAACTCCATCAGAATAGGCGCAGACTGAAGTAACAATTCCTCTTTATTTAAATTGTTCAGCCATGCACAAATTAATTCTAGTCTCTATTCGACAAACCACTTTCCAGCAACCTAACCATCATTCTCACACCCACCGCAGAGTTCACATCGACCGGAGACTAGCTTGAATGCAGGACATTTTAGTTCGTCAGAGTTACTCACTGACGATGTCTGTGGGTGGGTGTTTGTTTACAAATTCATACCGACCACCGATTGTTCCTTGGTACTGTTAATTTTGCCACCCAGTGGCCCTCCACGGAAGCGTCGCAATGGGATCAATGTCACCATTGGTTACCGATAATGCAGTTCCTTCCTTGGCTGATGATCACTCTGAGATACACAAGTCCACTCGAATCATGTACTAGTATAACGGTGGTACTACTGATGGGGAGACACGGGAGTAGTATGTGCTTTTCGTGGAATTTCGTCTTGCGTCTTTTGAAGAAGGGAAATCTGTTGCGGAATTTGTGGAGTCGCTTTGTAAAATTTGCTTGGATTTGAGCGAGGAATGATTGGACTCAATGGATCTCCAGGAAAGTTCAAGAAGACCCTTTCAGGAGAAGACGGATGTCCAGTTTTTGTAAATAAGATGCCAATTAAAGTTTTGCTTCCCTGTGCAATGGTCCGTAACCGGTCAGTTGGCATTTCCTTATAAATAGCTCCGCAGCGAAGGCCTTCCTCCTTTCACTAGTAGATTTTTGTCAAGTTTGGAAAGTGTATCCTTCACCAACTGACGATGGTGACCAAAAGCTTGCAACCCAATTATCAAGATCAACGAAAACCTGATTAACGGTCAGTTTCACTCAGTTTTCTTGGTATACCGGAGAGAGGTTCCCGCCAGTGTGTACTAAAAAGGGCTTACGATTCACAAAACTACAAAAGCTGTTGATCATTATCGCAAAGGAGTTCCCATGGCTATGGACGAAGTCGGGAACTTGGCCAATGGTGCTTAAAAGTGCATATACAGGATTTCTTAACGACCAATCCCTCATGCAAGACACCGTAACATATTGGGCAAATAGAATAGTTCGCCGGGATGATTGGTCACATATCACCTCAAACAATGTCTGATTGTGGACAGAGATTTGTATGGGAATTTCAAGAAATCAAAGAAATGACCGAAAAAACGGGATTGGGAACGCGTGTCAGCTGTTTCAACCAACTCGAAAAACTGGGCCCAAGGGACCGTCTGCTAGTGAGCTGATCAAAGATAACATTCGAAGTCTAATTCATCATGAAAACGAGCTTTTAAACCGCCAGCAGTGGTTCGGTTCGTTTTCTGTCCTTCAACCACTAACTTTGCCCTAATTAAGCTGGGGTATTTCAGTTCACACCACCCTCAGCTTATCGGGTAACAAATGCTTTTCCATCTGGGAGAAACTACAAATGAGCCCACACTGGTATTATTCAAAGATGGTGGCAGGTTCTTGCGTACTGCTTCGACAAATTTGTTTGAACTTATCCAGAAATGAAAACTAGATCAATTCACCTGAGTAAAATGGGAACCCGTTTGGGGTTTGTCATTACTCTTTATCCTTTGTATTCTACCACCATAGTGGACTGCAGTCTTCAAGGTATCATGCATCTAAATGCTCATATTACATCCAGAGAAAGACCAGTAAGCCAAAATTATGCGTACAAGTTTGTTCTATGGTCGGATGATCATGTGTCTTCACGAATTGCTGAACACGACAGGCCTTCGGACACAATCCGTTTTCTTCATAATTCCATTGTGCAAAGTCTTACTTCAGAATTTCCCGCAATCAAGAATTCCTTCGAAGCTTTAAAATGAAGAGCTGAGTTTTTTGTAGGTTCACCTGTCTTGACAGCAAGCAATAACAGAGTTAGAGCGACACCTGCAAAGTTTATGGCATCAGTTGTGTCTGTCGTCACATGAGCAAAACAAAGACAGGTCTATAAGAAGGCCAGACTTGGCAACAAGGTGCTAAGTGTGGAAGAATTCTGAAATCAAACACTACCCCTTTGCTTCCGTCTGAATCTTTTGGTATGCCATACCCGTGACGGCGCTGGGATGTTTGTTCGGCACATGGGTTGCGATGGGTGATAGATTTCAATGTGTATCAACAATTCAGAGGGCCAGAGAACTGCTAAGCTTCACACCGCCAGTTTGACAACGCTGAAAACATTGAAAACAAAGATGAATACGCCTTTGACTAGGTTTGGTGGAGTCCCGATTGAAATGTGACCGCGGATTACGCAAGCCCACAAAAATCAATAAATGTTTCGAAGAAAACACTTCGTGGAACTAGCTGATATTCCAAAAAACTATTCCCTCATATTTTGAAATAATTTCAGAAACAGTGATTTACTCATCTCATTCGGCTCTGAGTAGTATTCTGGGTTTTTGCTATTTCACTTAACTCATTTGCTGACATTTGTATTCCGAGTGACTCCAGTATTTCACACTTAATTTCACGAACCTAACGTAGGGGTCCAAGGATTCACAATGTTTGTTTTTTAGAGTGGGTGTTCTCTTATCATGTCATGTCCACTGTGAACTTTCATCGGTCTGATAAAACGGATGAGGTTCACATTCCACTGACGACGCTGATGCCTTTATCAACTTGAATTAGTTTGAAGCCGCTAGTATTTCAAACTCAATAGAGACAAAATTTGTTTAGGCACAGTGGGTAAGGGCTTGCAGTATCTGTCTAAGTTTCCAGCGGTTTCCACAAAGGTCATTGTGATCTTGGCTGTTCATGAGTAGTCAGATGAGTCCGTGAGTAAACCAAAAACTGGCCCGCCCAAATTTGCACCAAGCTCCCCAGCTGCACACGCTTGTTGGTGGACGAGTTTTGCCATGAATAGTAAACCAATAGTTTTGACAGATGTGGAACGTAGGTAGCTCGGGTGCGCTGTTTGGTTGTTGGTCTGTTCGCCGAGCTGAGTGGGACCCATTCAACCCTGCACTGACAATGTCACCTCGATTGGTGATGAAACGTTTGCAACCCAACTGCCAAGCTCGGCGAACAGACCAACAATCAAACAGTTTTGACAGATGTCACATGTTTGATCCCTCAGCACCTAACTCATGAGCCCCCATAAATCTGAAGGGCAAATATGGCTGAGTTTTCGGAGTGCGGCGGCGATCTGTGGTAAAATTCACTTCGCGAATGGTAAGACAAAGTTCGCTTACAGATGAATGCCCATTATATTACCAAATGCCATCTTCTCCGGTGCTGTTTGCGAAACTAGCCAACCAAATCGAAGAAAATTTGCTATTCTCTCTACCACAGGTCCGAGTCGCTCAGGCCGACCTCAAACAGCTAGTCGAAGCACACCGAATCCTTCTGTTTGGGAAAAACTCGGAGTTGTCCGAATTATATACGCATCGACAAAAAATGAACGACCTCTATCAGGGTGCGCAACAGTCGATGATTCATAGTCACGAGGAGTTGGCACATCAGGTGAGTGGATCGTGGACTCCCTCATCAAACAATGAATCGATCAGTTATTTGTTTGAAGCCTTGAATAGTTCTCATGTTCGCCTTGTAGAATTTCATCCGGGAACATTGTCTTGTCTGGTCGTAAGTATTTCTTTCCTAAGTTGTTTCATGCGAAAGTAGAGCCGTGTCTCTAGGATGTCAGCATAGATGAGCCTCAGTTTGAAAACAGGTGCGACCACTTAACAAAAGGCGGGTGATTGACCTTAAGAAATATGCAGTGTGCTCTTTTTAACACAGTGCAGGCACTTTGGAGTGTCCTTGGTGTGCGTAAATGTATACCGAGTTATAGGAAAACAGATAATTGTCCTGAGCACAGTAGTACTCTTTGAGTTGATTAAAACTCATTGGCAGTCCCTCTTTTTTATTCTGCTTCAGTTTCTCCAGGCAAACATACGTCATACTAACTTGGAGGCCAGTATTCATTTGCCCATTGGAATGACGTCAACATACGGTTAATCGTGATACTAGAGTCTTATAGAAACATCATCCTAAGCAAAGTAAACTCATTTGCAAACAAATTTGTTTTTGCGAGAGACTCACCCGGAACCCAGCTGAATCTCTCGTTTATGATGTTCTGGACTCCGCGTGTGTCTCATTAGGTGTTCACATACCAAATTTAATTGCTTGAAACTCTGGGACTACGTCAATTTGATGGGCAAAACTGGCTGTAGGCTGTACAAGGGGTTTCATCGATTTTATGAATGGCATCGTATGAAGAGATGCACTCAGTTATTCTGAATATAGGCCTAGAGGAAAATAAGACAGCCTTTGAACAGCTTGTTCAGCTGGGAAATACCAAGGACGAGAGGTGCACTTGACCTCCTCATAGCACCATCATAATCCGGTGTGATTAGTGGACTCTGCAGAACAGGCGTGATTTCAGCGTGGCAACATTTTGGTCTACACCTCACGCGGATCAGGCTTCTGCCCGAACTCTGGGCTGAACCAGTGATCTGGCGGTCCTGGATTCAATTTAACTGAGAAAGTGTGGTTTTCACAAACAAACTGGTGATTGCAACAAACCGGAACTAGAGAAACACTGGTCAAGATATCATCAGGATCGATCGTCCGAACAGTTCACAGAATATGCTGCAAAGTTATGGTTGTTCACAATGCGCTTAGTCTACATCACCATCAGGTAACAAACTATGTCCTAATCTTTCATTTTTCAGCTGTCCCATTTTAAAACTGTTTTACGATCGATAAACAACTTGACCGGGAAGATCATACGTGCCTATGAACCTGGAATTAGCGTACAACTTCTAACGACAAAGATTCAGAATATGCCGGTAGGTCGTGTACCGTACTTTCCTGTTATTCTTAAGCACGAAACCTGAAGTTCACCACAGTGACGTTCTTTTTGGGGTTTGATACGCCTAAACAATGGTCGCACAAAAAATGGAAACCATATTCTCCCATTTGGTCATCCCGGGGCCTGTGACTCTGTCTGATACCTGTGCATCAATTCCACAATAGCCCGACAGGTCTACAAATATGTGTCTTATGGCAGAGGAGAAAATGAAGACTGCCAAACCAGTAAACGTGCCATCATGAGCTTTACAGGTCAAAACTCTAGCCATGCATAAAGTGACCGCTGCGAAAAACCAATCCCAGGCGTTCTTTGTGTGAAGGGTTCATGCTTTTGCAGTTAGTGAAATCATATTGTTCAGGAAGTCACGTGGCTAGCTCTACAAATAATCAAAGTTATCAAAGCTCTTCGGATACTGGACTCTTTAAGAAAGCCAGGATCTTATGATCGCGGACTTGAGAACATTAGGTGAAATTAGTATAATTCCGTTGTTTTACAGAAAAGTGCCTTTTCCAATGTTCCTGTTGGACACTGGGAGCAATTTTAGGGCAAACTCATTTCCTGTGTATTCTTCGGAGTAATCCCGACGGTCTGCAAGTAGGAAGACAATAAGATTTGGTAGTTGGCCCCATGGCAAACTAAAGACACTGCCCTAAAAGGGTGAACCCCAGTACGCGTCTAGTACAGGCGTGAACCAGCCACTGGTGACCCACCGAGGTATGTTCCTCAGGCTATGTACGCGAAGTTGTCAAGTTTTCCCTTGGTTCGTGAGATCAATCTTCCCCATGGATTCAAGGTGAACACATGAAAGGAGCGGAGATGCATTCATTGGCACGCACATAACACATACCCTTGAAGCTGGTATTAATGCAGTCAGGCTTGGTCCCATAATATAATGAAAACTTATGCGGACTTGACGGACTAGCTTGTTTAGAAAGATGGGGTGTTTTTACCATAAAATAACTGATCTTGGGTTGTGCTTAGATGGTGGTCCGTGTGTCACTAAACCAATCTGTAATGGAACATTAATTCTGAGACTTTTGCCTATTTTTCTCATCCCCAACGTTCGTACGGTTTCGGCAAGCGTGAAATATAGTTCTGCCTGAACACTTTTCTACCTAATGGATAAAGGGGTTGAAGGATAGTCACTGGGCAATTTGCAAACACATGGTCCGTAGTTGTTTTCAGGCCATTGGAAAAATTTTGGAACCGATTGAGACGTCATCGTTTCAGAAGAGCTTGGTAAACAATCGGTAGTTTTTATTTGGGCAACGTTTCGCTTTTGACACAAAAGCTTCATCAGGCCAAGTGAACAGATCGCCGAATTGGCCAGGTTATGAAACAGACGGGGAACCAATCAATAAGTCCTCTTCAAACTAGATCAGTGTTGAGTATCAATTAACGGCTCTTGTCGGCTAGTGTGGGTGCCAAAATTTGAACTGATGGGTTCCGATCGCTTTTCGTTCCTTAATCTTCCACTTTAGGGTGCTTCACTTGATGATTCACCTCGGGTGCCGCTGTTAGATTTTCCCTGGTCTTTGTGGGGTTTTGAATGCTCCGACAATTAAGTCTGAGGGAGTTTGAGGTCAAGTGGAGTTCAGATGATGACCACTCTTCCTTCTGACCGCACACCAACACATGTCAGCTCGAGTGACCCAAGACCGTTCTCCACACGCTAGCCAGTTCCACGCCTTCCATTCTGTTAACGCTGGGATGCTTGGCGATTTCTACCGCCTCGGCGATCAGTCTGTGTGACGTGGACCGTAGTCTCCGCCTCAAAACCTCAACATTTTCTAAATAGACTTTACCAAGCTCTTCTGAAAGGGTTGAAGGATAAATAATAGGCCGATTTTTCGACTTGTAATGTTCGCAATCACTGACGAAGGTGAATGTTTCCACTAGGAAAGAGCACGTGTAGGACATTGGTGGAGTACTTCAATAATAGGATATCAACTGTTTGAGAAAGAAACACAGTGTGCTTGTCCTGCTCTAGCAGTTGGCTAGGGTAGTCTGGACGTTTAGACTAGTCTGGACTACTTTTGTGAACATGGAGTGATACAGCTACCCTCTCAACTATGGATGGCGTCAGCTTTCTCATTTTGGTAGAATACGATGGACGATTATGAAAACAGCGTCTCCGTTCACCGCATGCTCTGTTTCGGGCAAGCGGTTGATCGTGACATATCAGTTGTTTTTAACAGTTCTCGCTGTCGAGAGACGTTTTTTGATCTTCGTGAATAGGTGCCACGTCTTATGGCTTCCCGCACATACGCGAATCACTATAAATGTGTTATGGATCAACATCTTGTCCATGAGTTTCAAACATTTTTGGAAATAAATTCCACATTCAGTGTACATCTAAGAAGGAATGCTTTGGGATTTGCATATGAAAATCCGGTTGCTTTCTCTGATTTTTCAAATAGCTCGCATAATTGGGAGATGACCCCATCAATGGGACGTTCATGGACAGAGTTTATGTACTACGAGCATAGTAATTTTCCTTGAGCGCTTGTGGATTGGCGGGCGCACGAGTTCAAGGCACCGAGTACACTGCTTTGGCATACTAATATTCTAACAAGGTCAGAGGTTTTCACGAGCCAGTTGGCTGTAACTTGGTGAGGACAGCCGGTTATGTCGATGATTGGTTTAAGGGACACCCTGCTTCTTTACATAAGACAGCTGGGGATTATGGTCGCACTATGAAAGGACGGATAACCAGCGGGATAAAGATTTTAGTGGAAATGTAGTGGACTAATTGCCTGGAGAGAATGGGACAAAGAAGAGTCATCAATGATGAGCAGACATGGTACGCTGCAATCGACAATAGCAAATTCTATCAAGCCTGTATATCACCTTCTATAGTTCTAATCTGACGTTGAAAATGTACGGGAATATTGGTAGCTCGGGTGCATTCATTGGCGGTTGATCACGTGGCTGTTGATTTTCTCACCAAGCTTGGAATTAGCTTGCAGACGTTTCATCATCAATCAAGGTGACAACATCAGTGTGCAGTTGAGGTGAGAAGGGATTAGCCACCTAAGCGCACGCTGGTGATATCACCTCAGTTGATGACAAAACTTTTCAAGCTAATAGCCAAGTTCGGCGAACAGATACGGTCACCCGATGGCCGACTATTCCCATCTGATCCATTCAAATATTACGACTAAATCAACGGATCGCAGGAACTAACCCAGTTTTGCAAATCAGAAATCCGATGGGTCCAAGTGTTATGCGTGTGTGGATTTCGAGAGCTGATCACATCTGTGCAAAAGCAAGCTGACAAGACAGTCCTCGAGTTCATAACATACACTGTCGTTGGTGTCGAACAATACAGTCATTTATAGAGGTTCTTGTTGGAAACTGCCTGGAGAGCCAAAAGACGCTCGTCGGTTCACACCAAACTGGAAATGAAGACCTGAAAACAGCCGCACTGACCCACCGTGCTAATGCAAAAATTTTCACCAGTAGGTAAAGTTCAGGGAATATTTTGGGAAACTCAATCCCAAAATATTGACGGTGCAGTGAGCCCGATAGCTGTTTCAATTCGCTTGCCGTTATAAGAGTTGAAAAGGCAAGATTAATGGCTTTGGAAGCTCGTTGAGAGGAGTCCTGTACTTGTACCTAATACAACTTGTGCCCCCGGGCGTTCACATCGCTTTGAAATCAACCCAAAGGCATGGATACAAGTGCCCGATGACTTATCTGATCCATTTTCCTTTGTTGCCAACAGATATTATCACGGTGTCGCTTGATTGAGGTGAGTTACGGCTTCACACTATCTCATTATGGTTGAAGTTTGCTGCGTAGTTGTTCGGATTATGATTCACAGGTCGCCAGAACTCCCGCGACTGTAACACTCAATCCTTTAATTCGTGTCGATGGCTTAGGTGTGGAGGATACAGCCGGTTACACTCCCTACAAAATACCCAATGCATCCTGCTAACGCGTTCCATCTGATGCATGCTTGTGCACTTGGTTGCTCTGTAGGTGATAAATTGACGCACAGAGAATAGGAATTACTTCAGCCATATCCAGTAGCACGCTGATGTCGACGAAAAATGCTTCGTAATAAAGTGAACGGTCTATTACATTTGCCAGCTCGTGACACTTACCGCAACTCAAAGCTGTGCTTTGCAGTGACCCCATAGAACACAAGTAATCAATTTTGAATAAGACTCGCCAGAATCTTATCTCGGTGGTTATTTGAATGTCAAACAATGATGGGATAAGGGAACCATTTCGAACATTTTCGTCAACCGCAGCACGCATCACATGAGTTACAAATGAACGAGCCTACAACCCAATGGTAGAAATCGAAATAATAACGGGGAAAGACTATAAAACTGGGAGCAGGGCAGGCGCAATACCTGACACAGGCATTCTTCATGAACAAATGCATGACCTGAATCGCATACACATCAAAATTTCAACACAGGTCAACAACCAGGGTCATGCACTTGTATGAAGACCTTAAAAAAGAACAAAAGCAAAACCTCGTGTGCAGGTCAAACGACACGACTTTGAGTGCACCCTTGGTAGCTTGGTTGGTTCCTGATTCACTGCAAGATCCCGTTTATTCGGAATATCTCGATACTTTGTTCGGTATATTATTACGTCTCGCCTATGTTCACAAATTCATTTGAGCTGGACGCCGCATTTAGCCTGGCCACGGCGACAAACTGAACATTGTGCACTTTCAGTACCAATATGCACGCGCATTGATTCTTTACGTATTCGGTTCGCACTGCAGCTATCAATAGCGCTATGCAGAATGTACACATCATAGTTCTGATAGACAGGTAATCGGTCAGATGAATTCGTACTGGCCTAACATAGATACACTTTCGCGCGTTGCGGTTGTCACGATTGACGATGTAGTTCAGAATCTAACGACAGTGGATTTTGTAGGATTCATGCTCACCACTTTGTTAAGACCATTGTGATCGGCCTTTGCGTAATCGAAGAAAAGAATTCGCGCATGAATGACATGCCGATTGCTAATCACTGACTTATCCCTCCTATTTCAGGACCGAACACTTGGCATGCGCAGTATTATTGCTCAGCTGGCAAGTGACACTGGTACCCTTCCAATTTCAACATGCAGCCGACCTGAGTTGGATTATGTTCAACATGGTGCACCCATCGCTGTTTCCGCGAGTGAATTCAGCTTGTTGACGAAGATGGCGAGCACTCAGACGGATCCGAACGCATAACACGAAGCGGACTGAGGTCTACGTACTTCTACTTACGAACCATACTGCATCAATCAATGTACGTAATCCACGTACTGTAACAATGTTCATTTCCAAAAAAAGACGTCTAGAATCTCGTTTCCTTCACCAGAAAGTTGGACACCACACGAGCGAACCCCGAAGCCACAAGCTAAACGATCGAACGGATGAATCGTCATTTAGAATGTCAATTTCACTCTGCTACAGTTTAGGAGTGCGCCCTTCCTCCCAAATCAAGCATTTAAATAGGCTGCAGATGACTCCACACTGGTGACACGTACTGCCCCGCACCTCCCTAGGGAGGGTTTAAACTCAAATGTATTCCGACCAAGTGAATTTCACTGGCTTGGTTAATACTTAAATACAACTCTGGCCACAGTAGACGACACTGCCGCAGCTAGAAATTCACGTAATACGAAACTAGAAAAGAGCAAAAACAGGTGCTCATGCACCGAGAGTGTAGTTGCGTGATTTGGACACGCAGGAGCTGCACCAATGATCGTGTAGGTGACGGGAGAAACTCACCGCCCCTATGTGATTTCGCTTAAAACTGCTTGCTCCAAGCGGAGAACCATGAGGTGAATGGAAAGACCTTCTTAAGAGATGTACGACAGAAGTGCCGCGAATGGAGACTCCGCGAAGATTTTTGCAGTCTATCTTGTGCTCGACATCAAAAAACGACTTTCACAAGGATCGTCATGGTGAGTTGACAAAAGTAGTCGAAGTAGTACGACTTTAGAAAGACCTAATGAGGCGTACAGTCTGTCTGGTCATTGACTGCTCAACTAGTGTTTGCGAGCAACTCTCGGTGGTCCGACATATCCTATTGGGAACAGCTGTTGACGCGTCAGTACCAGAGCCATAGTATGCTAGGCTACCTCCTCAATCCCCGCATACGTTCGTTGTTATGTAGGCAATGGTGATAAAGACCCAGTCTTTTGACGTCTCCTATCAAGGGAACACAAGTTCCACATTCGTGTGGCAGCATAGCATGTGCCGAAACATTGTAGACGCCTCCCTTAAGTCTAAGGCTTGTAGGACTGCACCGCCAGATATGACAGAGGTTTCCGGACACAGCGAGTGCTGGAGTAACCTCCCAAATATGAGAGTCCCCACAAACCCCACTGAGATAGGGTTTTCGCATTTGTCGATCGAACACCGTAGCTTGGCATCTTGCGAACAGAAACGTCCAGCGTAAATGTTCGATTCATCAATCTATCCTAAGATAAGATACACAAACCCACCGGAAAATCCAGACTACGTTGTTTGTATAATCTAGATATTGAAATGGAGTCCCGAGCAGCAGTTCAAGAGGTTGTATACTGGATTTGCAGACATTCTTCAGGATGCCATTAATGACGAAGTTGTTCGGAAGCGGGAGAGGGGATAGTACGTCATGATGGGCAATCCTAGAGATAGAAAAACTCTTCGCACACACGCTCGTGTCATGTGCAAACCGGCTGCAAATTAACTTGTCAATCCCGATCAAAACAACCCTATACTACTCACAACTCCTTCGGTTCCGTCTGTTCTGAGTGAGCGGATCGATCCCGAGCTGTCAAATGTCGGTGATGGGGGACCACTGTCCTCATCTATCGGACCGTGGTATTCCCATGCTCCATAGCAATACTTTGGACTCATACACAGTACAGGACCCGAGAAACAGGCGTCAAAGCCCCATCCCGACCTTCGCTAGAAGCACGGTGAAGCGATTTATCGTATACCTGAGCCAACATTGCTAGAACAACATGGGACATTCACCTAATTGGAGGGAGTCCCAGTTTGGTCCCATCAGTTTCAGCAGGGCATTTTCGATATTGGCTTCTGACATTATCCGTCTACTGTGGGCTTACCTACTCAGGGTGTGATAAAGAGAAATCCACAAGATGTACTACATACCGGCGGAGCTGCAGGTAATAGTTCACCTTGGCGTATGTAGCGCTCTGTGGTTCCATACGGTCAGCTCTGTTCGGATCTCAAAAAAGACTTGTGTTCTAATAATGACTGTTTTTCTGCTTTCTGTATCGTTCATCTAGCGGTAACTGCTGAGTGCCTCCGTCACGATAGGCTCCCAGCGTTTGAGCTTTTCTGCTTTGGGTTTGACACGATTACTTCGCTTGTGTAAGATATTCGTTCTAGTGGTTCAATTCTTGCTGTGATATCACCACTCAACCGGTTCTTGCATACCCCGTTCTTCTCCTCAACTCTGATTATTTTCCCATGGCAAGAATTAAGCTGTTTTCAGAAAATCAACTGTCAATTACAAAGGCGCTTACAACTAGACAACCTGTGTTCGCGCATAGATGATGCACTTGTCTAGGTACATTTCATGGACCGTAGGGGCGACATACGATCCAATCGCGAGCTGGGAAGAACATTCGATATATATATATATA